CAGAAGAGGTTAACTGATCGATCAGTCGACAGAAAGGATCTCCGTGTTGAGTTCCAGGCAGCTTAAAGCTCCTCTTAAGATCGATGCTTCATGCGATTATTGCGATGGTTTTGGGTTTGGATACTTGCCCACGCAGGTCTATGCATGCACTGGCTCCTGAACGATGGGACTCTTCGGTGCAGTCTGCACTGGAAGGACAGCTGGCATGCACATGTGCATGCGGTTGCATGCGAGTGCACGTGCACTGCTGGGTACCTGCATGCCCCTACAGGAGCATTAGGAGCAGAAGCTCCTGCATGATATCAAAGCACCCGTAGCACTTTCGGCTTACAGCGATACCGGCCGTGATAAGTGTACATATCGATCGATCATGGGTAACGATCTGTCCCGAACCCTGCAGCAAGTGGGCCAAGTGGGCCAAGCATTGGAGCAGCTGAATGCTCAGGGAGGCGTGCCAGGTGCAGGTGCACCTCCCCCGCCCATGCCACCCCCATCCATGCCGCCTCCGAGCGTCCCATTCCCGAACCCTTGGTTCCCGCCGCAGCCCCCAGCCAATGATGGCCCAACCACTGGCAATGGCGGCCCAACCCCAGGCAAGAATGAAGCCAAGAATGATCAGCAGGAGCCCTCTCAAGGCTACCTTCGCCGGTGCAATCGGTGCAAGCAGATCTCCTACATCCGCAACAACATGTGCATGGATGAAAGGTGCGAGCTTAAGCTGCACTTTGGACTTTTGTTTTGTACACAATATATATGTATATGTATATATGTACATGTATATGTATATGTATATGTGTAGTTATAATATATATATATATATATATGTGTATATATATATATATGCATGTGTTTGTGGCAAAAAATTAATACATTATATATATATATATATATATATATATATATGTGTGTATATATATATATATGTATATATATACACACATATTATCTCTCTCTATGTATATATGTGTAGATATATATATATATTTATATATACATATTTTGTGGTTTCGGCATAAGTCTTTTAGGGTCTAGGTAGGGTTTAGGGCTAGGTATACACAGACACACACACACACACACATGTGTATATAAATACATGTACATATATTTATATATAATATACCCAACACATGCACCCGAAACACTGAAACCTAAACCCTGAACCCTAAAACCTGAACCCTGAAACTTAAACCTTGAAACTTAAAGCCTAGCCTAAAAGGATCATTAAACCCTCAAAGATATCCACTAAGGAACTTTCAGCATGGCATCAAAAACCCGAAGACATTGGGCGGCAGATGGTCTCATGGGCCGGCAAAGATTCGGCATGGAAAGACAAGAGCTTGCCAACGAAGATCGTGAATGCCCGCTGGAATTCCAATCGCACCCGGGGCACAAAAGGAAAACAACACCAGGCCTGGTGGCGTTCGAAGACGGCGAGCCAGAAGCAGTGGATCAAGCAGCAGCAGGAGAAGACGAAGAAGGGCTGGTGGGACAAGGAAGGCGAGAAGGGCACCGACGATAATCAGGTCACCGGCGATTACAAGAAGGTCAAGGTGGAGGGTGGCCACAACAAAATATGGGGTCCGATTGATCTTGAAGAAGATCTCGAGGAGGAGGAAGACGATGAAGAGGTTCCCTCTCCGTCTATCCCGGATAAGAACGATTTCCCTGACAAGGGCCCTGGCCCTGATGGCGGCGACGACTTTGATCGCCCAAAGCTGGGACCCCACGAATGGGTACTGTGAATAGCTAGCTTCGCGATGATCAGAGTGCTGCAGTTTCAAAAAAAGGAGCCAGAGCTCCTGAAGAGGAGCTTAAGCTGCAGCTCCTAGGACATGACTGTGCCATTTAGTTGCCTAAAATTCCTTGCCAGGAGCTCGATCCTTCGATGTGGACAAAGAGAAGACCCTGCTACGATTGGCAGGCTCGGCAGATCGAGAAGGGTGTGTTTTTTCGAGGGCCGGGGTCAGTTCAAGTCTCTTGCTTGTGAAAAACAGCACATGCCTCGATCGACCACCATATGTTTTGATTTTCGAAATTGGTGGCAGGACCCAGCTGTGTGGAGCACCAGACCATGCAGCAACGAGGCCTTCGCACTTTTGGTGGTTGTGGTTCGATATTAGAAAGTTCACCCCATAAACCCTTAAACCCTCAAACCCTCAACCCCTAAACCCCTAAACCCTTAAACCCTGAACCCCTAAACCCTTGAACCCCTAAACCCTAGCTTAAACCCCTAAACCCTAAACCCATAAACCCTGAACCCCAGGGGCTCAAAGCCCCTGAACCCCTAAAGGAGTCGGGAATTAAAGAGTCCCACATGTGTTGCCGTCTGCAGCAGCTGCACACTTGAGATATATCCTAGGCCGGGTTACGGGTTCAGGGTTTGGGGGCCTAGACCTTATATTTTAGGGTTGTCGTGTGTAGCTTGTCGATATTGAGAAGTTCGGCCGTTTGCCCTAAACGGGTACCCTGGAACCCCTTAACCCAAACCTATACCCCAAAACCGCTGAACCCTAAACCTCCTAGCCTTCAACCCTTGGACCCCTAAACCTTCAACCCTAGAATACCCAAACCCTCAGTCACTTGTTGCCTGCTGCTGCAGCTGCATAGATCTCGAGAGTTGATCCTTAAGTACAGCGAGAGCCATGCCTCAACAGGACACGGTTTGCAGGTTGACACTATGAACGGTTTGTTGAAATTCTGATCTATGTATACTGTGTGCAGGACAGCCAGCGAGATCGTTCCAGGTCACCGCCATTAAAAAGAAGGTGGAAATGGTGCTGGAAATCCTGTCAGTGGGGTGGGCAAACGACATTCAAGCCTAATTCATTTTCTTGTCACATATACATGCAATGGCTGTGTAGGAGCGACCTGTGTGAACCAGAGTCTGCTCCTTCTGTGAAAGCATAAGGATCTGGTACTGGGTGTGGTGGCTTTCCGAAGACTGAGTACCATCGTGACGAAGACCGTAAGCGGCCACCGGCCACTGTGTGCAGCTGGAATTCATATTGCACCGACGTGCCTCTGATAATAGCTTCTTTTCGGTGCTGCGAGAAGACAAAGTGTGCTTGCCAGCAGCACTAGTAGACACACTATAGCAGCAGCACCACCAGCACCAATACGGCCACCCACGGCCAGCACCCTGAAGAAGAGCAACTCGCAGGACAACCAACACAAGAAGCAAGCAGCAGCACTTCCACCAGACAGCAACACGGACACCAACAACAGACAGCACGATTGCTAGCAGCAACACCGTCACGAACCGCTGACACCAACAGCAACACCAGAACAACCAGGAGCACCTTAGGGCTTAGGCTTCGGGCGTTGGGTTTATGGTTCAGGCTACTCGTACCGTGTCCATTCAGGATATTGAGAAATTCCTTGCTCCTCCTCGGGCACCTATACCCTTGAGCCCTTAAACCCTTAAGCCCCTAAACCCTTAAGCTGCTAAACCCTTAAGCCCCTCAGCACTACAGCTAAAATCCCTACCCCAGAATCCTGGAACGACCAAGCCCTGGTACCACTGCTCTGGTACTGTTGCTCACCAGGTGGCTTTCCTAGTTGGTTTTGGCAAGTGCAAGCCTGCTACCTTAGGCCGAGAGACAGGAGCTTTGGCTCCTCTATGATTCAGATGAGGATTTTAGCTCAGTGGTCTAGATGTTCAGAGATCCATGGGGCAGGGGTTAGGGGGAGGGTTTACGGTCCGGGGTTGTTGGGATAATGTTTCTCTATCTCTAGGTGGTGCCTTGCAGGGCTGGATAATGGTGTGTTTCGGTCGTGTGAGATTCAGGAGCAGCTGTGCTCCTTTAAAGGTTAAGACTAGGAGTTGTTGCACTGGCCTGTGCTTCTTGTTTTTTGTGGAAGAGTTAAACATTGGTTAAATTTAACTTTCCTTTAACCTGGATTTAACCTTCCTGGAAGATTCGATCTAGAGGAAGTGCAAGGTTAAATGAAAGTTAAATAGAGGTTAAATTTAACCTCTGTTTAACCTGCGTGGTTTGCCATGGCCAGGCTTGCTGGTCCTGCTGAACCCAAAGTTGCTCTGTGCAGCCGACAGGCCAGTGCCAGGGTGAGGGCATTAAGATGTATAGTTTGGAGCCACAGAACCAACAGGGACACTAGCCTTGGCTGCACGGCTGCAGACAGTGGGGCCATCGCCAGCAGCAGCAAGGGACCAAACATAGCTGTTAGTAGCAGACCATAGAGGAATAGCACCAGCGGTACCCACAGCCGAAAAGCAAGTAACATGAGCACAGTTACCACCAACAACACCAGCAGTGGCAGCAGCAATCCTACAGGAACCACTAGCACAGCGGCAGCACCAGCAACCACCAATAACACAAGCAGCAACCTCTAAACTCTTACACCCCTCAACCCTAACCCTCCCAACCCTGCAACCTAGCCTAAATCCCTCCACCCCTAAACCCTTAAGCCTAAGCGAGTAAACCTATAAACCCCTAAATCCCTAAGCCCCTGAAGCCCTAATGCCCGAAACCTCTTAGCCCTAAACCCGTGGCCCAGGTGTGTGGCGAGGCTGGTGCCGGTGCCTTGGTCCTGCGGTTGTTTGCTTCTTGGTTTTGGCCTTCTTAAGACAGGAGCACTCGCTCCTCCAACACTCTGTTAAGTCTTTCTTAGCAAGAGATAGGAGCATGTGCTCCTATGTACAATATAGCAAAACCCTGGAACCTAGAACCCTATCTTCTTAAATCCTCTACACCACAGAACTGGGAAGCTAAGACCCCAAATCCCGAACCCCACTGAGGCCCAAACCCAAACCCTAATCCCAAAGACCCGTCAGGATGTGCACATCACCCTTGTATCTTTCTCCTGAATCGTTGCGGTCCTGGCAGCTGTGTGCTGCTCCACATCGCCTAGATCCACCTTTGCTTTTGTTTGCCATGGCACCCAAGGGTAAGCCTGCTGCCGCCAAGGGCAAAGCCGCTGCCAAGGCAGCCGCCGAGGCCAAGGCTGCTGCTGCAGCGAAGAAGGGCCAGCAATCCAACATGGTCACTCAGCTCAAGCAGGCGAAGAAAAAGTTGGATCAGGCGATGATCACGGGCGAGGAGCTCGACCCCGACGTGAAGAAGTGCCTCGAGCACAAGGCCGCCTTCCTGTCCGAGTACAACAGCTTGGGCCTTTTTGACGGCAAGAAGCAACAGATGCTTGAGATGTGGAAGACGGACAAGAGCTTGAAGCAGTGGGCAGAGTCGAAGACAACCCACTCCTCGATGACGAGTGTCACCCAGGAGAAGCTGGAGAACTACGGGACCAAGCTGCTAGGTGTTTTCGTATGTGGTTATAGTTTTGAAAAGTTCTGGGAGGGCAAAGCTGTTGAGTCATGTGTGCCTGTTGTCGTGTAGCCCCGGTGCTTGCCTGCGTAATTTTGCTGTGTGGCTTGTACTTAATAACAGAGACCTCTGGAAAGAGATAGGAGCATTTGCTCCTCCGATATATATAGGAGCATCTGCTCCTGAAACAAGCAATCCAAGAACACTTGAACCTTTAAGCCCCTAGAACCTTTCATCCCAAACCCCTATCCCCATTGAACCCCAAACTCTGAAGCAAAAGACCCCTAAACCCGGAGATCCGAAATAAATTCCTTGATGTCATCAGCACTAAAACTAGAACCTGAATATTAAGCACTCGTGTGTCTATACACATCTGAGGTTCGATGTGGCCAAGCTCCTGAATTTGGATCCGGACTCGAAGGAGCAAAGCAAGATTTTGAATGCGGTCCTACACGACCTACCTCAAGATGATGCATGGGACGAAAGCAACCCCATGGAAAAAACCTTCAAGCAGATGAACCTGGTTCGCTACACCTTCTCCAAGAACTTGGGTGTCTCTACCAAGCATGGCAAGGAAGAAGTTGATTCTTTCGTTCACACAAGGGACGTTTGTGGCGAAAAGCTCAAGCAAATGCTCGAAGATGGCGGCTCCGGCGGCTCGGGCGGCTCGAGCGGGGACCCCGCAGTGGTCAAGCTGGAGCACGTGTGGATTCTGCCAGCCCAGGAGAAGCACAAAGAGATCGTGCTAGCTCTGAAGACAGTGAAGACTCGAGTGAATCATTTCAAGAGATTTAAAGCCGTGCAAGAAAAGTCTGGAGAGGATGCCCCGGCAAGTCTCACCAAGGGTTTCAGCATGTTAGAGGCGTTGGAAGCTGATCTGCTAAAGCTACAATTGGCAAACGTTTCGCAACTCGCTGAGGAAGAGTGCAAGGCATGGGTGTCTTCTGCAGTTGACCTACTTGCTCATTATGAGAATATCAAGAGGGTTGCAGAGCAGAGCAAAAAAGCTCTTGCAAAAATGTTCCCAGAGTCGAAGGCGGCCTAGCGAAGCTAGCACGTCGATCGTTTTCAGATGCAGCCGACAAGTGCTAAGCCATGTTGTCGTTTTGGGTTGCATGCAACAGGTCATCATGATCATATGTTGCACCGCTGGATCTAGAGCACCGCCGCCGGCTGCACAAAAAGATGCGAGAGGGCATGCTATGCGAAGGTTTTTAGCAAGTGCATCAAATGTGCTTGCATGCAGCAGCTTTTGCATCGATCATTGCGACGGATCGATAGAATGCAACTTGTACCCTCTATGGGTTTGGCAGAATTAGGACAGTGAGTGAAATAAGACTAAGCCGATATAGAATGAGATTCTAACACAAGTTTTAATCTGGGCCTAGCAAATTATTGTTTCCATCGATTCTAGCCTCAGCTTTCGATCGAGAAGCGACAGCTATATAGGTGCTTAAGCACCTATGTACAGACATATCTACAGCACACAGATATAGTTTACATATATAGATCGACATGCGTTAGATCGATAGTATACGTATACATCTATATATATATATACACACATACATACATGTACTTACACATGCATGCATACATACATAACAAGACATACACAGGGGCAGTGCAGCCCCTCTTCAGCAAAGATGGTTTTATTCATCGCTCGAGCCCTGGCTTTGCTGATATTTTTCATTTCTGCTATCACGGGCGAGGCTGTTCGCGGCGATAAGGAACCTCTGCCCACTCTCAAGCGGCAGAGTGAGGCGAAGTCGTCGGCTGCAAAAGCCAAGGCGGCTAAGGTTTCGGAATCAACATCTTCTGAAGCAAGGCCTCCATCGCTGAGGAAAAAAGTTGGCGAGACCTTCCTACATAATAAGCTGTCTGCAAAAGATATTTTTGAGATATCCCAATCTGCTGCGGCAGAAGCAGGCAGTTCCAGCTCTGTGAATAATTTTGCAGCGGCAGGTGCCGGAGGCCGGCAACCTGGAAATTTTGCGAGGGATTTGCTCAGGAGCCTTTGCAGGGGAGCTCCTTTGGAACTTTTCTGGTATGACATTCCTTTTTGGGATCCTGCAAGTGACTCAGAGATTGTACAACCTCATCCATTTTTGCTTCCTCACGAAGTAATACATCATCTGGTTCATCAACAAGGTTTGAAGTCTTTCGTCGTTAAAGCAGCCCAGCGTGCTGCGAGAGCCCAGCTTATCAAACAGTGCGACAAATTTGGTTTGGACCCAGATGAGACCATCAGCATTGGGATGCATGGTGATGGAGTACCTTACACGAAAAAGGAGTCCCTGGAGATTCTCAGCTTCAACTTTTTGGCGAATCCTACTGGGGATAGAGTTCCGATCACCGCCGTTTCCAAGAAGTGGGCTACCCAGAAGACTTGGGAGTGCTTGCTGAACGTGATTACCTGGAGTTTGCGGATGCTGTTCCTGAAACAGGTCTCCAAGGTTTTGCCCGATGGCAAGCCGTGGAAACATCGGCGAAAGGTGACTGGGCAGTTGCCCGGCTGCCTCTTGCTGCAGTGTAGGGGGGACTGGCCGTTTTTGCGATCCCTGTTTTATTTTCCTGCGTGGAATTCTCAACAAATCTGCTGGAAATGCTCTGCAAGCCAAGAAGGGCCTCACAGCTATAAAAACACAGGTGCAGATGCTTTGTGGCGGAAGCACAGGGTAAGCGACCATGAATTTTTGAGATCTTTGCGGGAACAAAACGTTTTCGTTTGCCCGCTGTTGAGTTTACCAGGGTTCGAGGTCTCTTGCATATTATTAGATTGGCTCCACGTGGTGGACTTGGGCTGTGGAGCGGATGCTATCGGGAACTTATTTTGGCATTTGATTGCAGAGCCAGGTTTTTATCCAGGAACTTCCAGGGAGGCTCGATTGAAACAACTTTGGGCTCGCTTGAGGACGTGGTATCAAAGGCACAAGCCTGCGTCTGTCCTGGACAATCTGACTGTGGAAATGGTGCGAAGATCCAAAGCGACTAGCAAGCCGAAGTTGAAAGCTAAGGGTGCCGAATGTCGCTATCTAGTCCCGTTCTGTCATGAATTGGCAACCGAGATAGCAGAGGGCAATCCGGAGGACCACGTCATGCAAACAATTGCAGGCCTTTTTAGTCATTTGTTTGCTTTGCAGCAATGGGTTGCAGGGAGCCTGGGAGCCTACGACTTCAACAAGGCATCTGAGGAGTGCAGACGTTTTTGTGTCTTGTATGGGGGCTTGCAGTCCCAGGCGACGTTTCCACTGTGGCATTTCAAGCCCAAGATGCATCTGTTGCAAGAGATGGTCGAGTATCAGAGCGAGGAGCACGGGAATCCCCGAGAGTTCTGGTGCTACCGGGATGAGTCCTGGTGCGGCTTTTGGGCGAAAGCCAGCAAAAGGCGTGGTGGCCACAACACCCCTGCTACTACTGCTCGTACTTTTTTGTTGCGGTACTTAGCCTTGGAGAAGCTTGCCGCAGAAGACTGAAAACTTCGCCCGCCTTGAGGAGCAATCGTGCTGCCTCTGCTCCTGTTCATGCTGAGGGTCGCACTATATTATAATCAAATAATATATATATATATATATATAATGCCATATATATATATATATATATAATGCTATATATATATATATATATATATATATATATACATAAATATATATATATATATATATATATTGCACATAATGGCCCCCTTAATTTTTCTACTATTTCAATTTGAACTTTCTGTTGCCTTATAAGGCAACAGAAAGTTCAAATTAAAATAGTAGAATAAGTGCCTTCAGCACCTTCTCAGAATCGATTTGCAGCCAGGTGTGTCAGGAGCAGTTTGCTCCTGCAGCAGTGCATGTCTAGGATCGATGGATCATGCCGTTTTTTATTTGCCGCAGCCGTGTATCTCCAAATGCCATCCTTCCGCAGCCATGGCTAAAGTGGTGCTGCTGTCTAAGCTGGACCCCAAGGGCAACAAGGGCGCATGGCTTAGGCTGAAGGAGGACGAACTGGCGAGAACCAGAGAAGAACTCTTGTACCACTTCGGCTGCTCTGTGCTGGACGGTGTGCACGAGACCGGTAACAGCTTCCACAAGTACGAGGAAGTTTGGTTTGTTGTGGAGAAACCGTTAGTCGACCACGGCTTGGACAACAGTGCGGTAGCACTACAGGTCTGGGATGTACAGATGCAAAAGCATGTCAGTTTCGCTTTCAAGTATGAGAGCTCCGTCGACCTTCATAGCTTGGACTAAAAATGTGCCTTGCTGTGCATGTTGCAGTCTTTGCATGTCTATTCGGTGTATATAAGTTTATAATTCCATTTTTTTGATGCACGTATTGCATGAAATCTTATGGTATATATATATAGACACACAAATCATATATATATATATATATATATATATATATATATATTTGCTCTTTTTATATAACATACATCATATACTGCATGCATATCTATGATTATATACATACATGTACATGTGCATACACATATATATTAAACATATATGTATATATGCACACACACATGCATATATATATATATACACACACATGCATGCACATTTTTTACATATATATACACATACACACATACACAAACCCACATATATATATATATATATACATATACATATACATACATGCATACATACCGGCATATGTATCCACATACAAATAAAACTATATATATATATATATATACTAGACACACGTGCGTGCTTCGCACGCACTTAGTGTCTGCATCGCGGCCACGCGTGTCTGGTACGGACGGCAAGACGAAGTCGCCGGCAGTTGCTATGTCTTCGAAGGATGCAAAGCTGTTAACACGTCATACTCTTGGAGCTTTTTCTACCGGCGGATGTTTGGCTGCACGATGTAGAAGCTGGAGCCTGTAAGTTCGGCTTATTGGGGTCTATGTGTGTACTATGTTCGACACGTGGCAGTCTGTAAGTTCTGCTTATTGGGGGATCTGTGTGTAAGTTTTGCGCGAGCTTCAAGACAATGGAGGGGTGGGGTGATTCGGGGGAGGGCGAGAGGGGCAGGGGGAGTAAGGGGGGGCGGGATGTTGGGGGGGGGGGCGTGGTAGGGGGAGTCGAGAAGGGGGGTGAGGGAGTTCAGATGGGGAAGAAGGCGTGCAGGGAAACGAAGGGCAGAGGTCAGGCGTGGCCAGAAGTTGCTACTTGTGACAAGTGTTTGTGAATGTATCCATACTATGGAAACACACGACCATGATGAACTGGACTCAACCAACGTACCACCTGATGATCCTGCACCATGGAATGCTGTCATGTTTTGCATGAGCACCGCCACTTAAACGTTGGCGAAGAACGGCAAGGGAGGCTGCCCCCGAGGTGATTAGCTGCGGGGTTTGGGGAAAACTCCGAAACCTCTGAACCCCTGAACCCTAAATCTTAAACGCAAGATGAAACATTTCTATGAACGTAGAAGACCTCTTACAGTTGACGTGCCCGAAGGCTCCATGTACCCTTATTGTGGACACTTAAGCCTTAAAGCGCCCTTATGTACCCTTCTAGGAACCCCTTCAAACCCTGGCCTTGTCATGGCCACGGAGAGGAGCAACCTGCCCTTTTATGGACTTCCATAAACGTCACAGTAAGGAACCCTAAAAAGGCAAAGGGCCAGCTAAACACCAAGAGAGATGGGTGGTGGAGAGGGGGGTGGGGTGTGGAGGATGGAGGGGATGGTGAGCGAGCTTTTGGTTTCTTTTTTTAAAAAAAGAAAAGGGGTGGGGGTGTGGAGGATGGAGGGGATCGTGCGAGCTTGGGGAGGGGTGGGGGGGGGGGGGGGGTGGGGGGGGTGGCGGGGTGGGGGGGGGGGTGGGGGGGTGGGGGGGTGGGGGTGGGGGGATGGGAAGGGTGGGGGGGTGGGGGTGGGGGGGGTGGGGGGTGGTGGGGATGTTTTGGCTGGAGGAGGGGAGGAAGGGGGGCGGGGCCCGGAAACCAACGGGGAAGGGGGTCCTATCTGTTTATATATATATATATATATATATATATATTGTTTTGATAGATAGATAGATAGATAGATAGACCCCCGCTGGTAAGTACATTTTTTCGTGGAAATTACTTTCCGGCCGGTTTTTGTCTTCTTTCTTGGGGTCCTATCAGAGGCTGATAGAAGCGCCCCCCCTAATGTGGTACATCCTGTCAGCGCCCCCCTATCAGCGCCTGATAGGATCCATCAGACACTTACAGGCAGCGCCGGATGCTCTGGGTTCTCACAAAGGATGCAGCTTCCTGGTATAGGCTAATTTAAAGGGGTTTCGGAGCTTCGCTTGGCTTCGCGCGGCTTTGCGCGGCTTCACGCAGCTTGGCGCGGCTTCACGCGGCTTCGCGCGGCTTCGCGTGGCTTCGCAAGGCTCCGCATGGCTTCCCAGGGCTTCGCGGGGCTTCGTGTGGCTTCGCGTCGCTTCGCGTGGCTTCGCGCAGCTTCGCGCGGCTTCGCGCGCGCGGCTTCGCGTGGCTTCGCACGGCTTCGCGCGGCTTTGCGCGGCTTCGCGCAGCTTCTTCGCGTGGCTTCGCGTCGCTTCGCGTGGCATCACGCGGCTTCGCGGGGCTTCGCAGGGCTTCGCGTGGCTTCGCTTGGCTTCGCGCGGCTGCGCGCGGCTTCGGAGCAATTTTATCAGGAACAGCGCGACCTGGAAAGCCAAAAGGCCAGCATTTGTTGGGCCGAGTTTGAAGCCCTGATCCGTCCCAAGTGCATGCTGGAAGCTTTCCTTGGGCGGAGCTTGAAGGCCGGATCCGTCTCAAGTGCTTGCCAGAAGCTTTAGGGCCGAGTTTGAAGCCCGCATCCGTCCCAAGTGCATGCCAGAAGCTTTCCTTGGGCCGAGTTTGAAGCCCGGATCCGGCCCAAGTGTCTGCCAGAAGCTTTCCTGGGCCGAGTTTGAAGCCCTGATCCGTCCCAAGTGCATGCCAGAAGCTTTCCTTGGGCGGAGTTTGAAGGCCGGATCCGTTTCAAGTGCCTACCAGAAGCTTTTGTTGGGCCGAGTTTGAAGCCTTGATCCGTCGCAAGTGCAAGCCAGAAGCTTTCCTTGGGCCGAGTTTGAAGGTCAATCACAACCACAAGCACAACGACAACCACAACCACAACGACGACAACGACGCAGCAGCAATGTGGCTGTCCACCTCTTCTTGGACCCTCTCGATGATAAACGACCTGGCATGGGAATGGACTCTTGGACAACATGGATGTGTCGGAAAACAGCCGGCCAGACCAAGGACTGCCGACGAAGGCACAACGCTGTGCCTGCAGACGGGGCCCCTCTTCACTAGCTCGCGACAAACGCGCCATGGAACGGCACAGCGGCCTCCAACCTGAAGTCCCAACAACGCTCGCCGTAGGCCTTAAGGAGACTGCCCGTGGGGTCTGCCCGTGAGGCGCGTGGGACCAACTAGTACCAGATGACTGATAGCACTTGCTGGGCGATCTTCTCCTGTTGGTAGGTTCATTGAGCGGTGTGAGGACGGCATGACGCTTCGCGTGGGCCTGCTCTGACAAGATGTCCGAGAGCAGAGTGTTCTTCTTGTCTCTTTGTTGTGCCAAATCCTGCAGTTTCTCCACTGCTCTCTTCGGAAATGCCTCCTGGAGGAGCGCCTGCAGCACGCTTCGAGGGACCTGAACCTCACCTGCGTGAGCGGATGACGAAAATTCTTTTGGAAGTGTCCCAGAGCCTCTGCTTTGCGAAATTCCGCACTATGCCTTCTGCGAATGCCATCATAACGCGCTGGCGGAAGCACGATCGCTATAGGCCCTCCCCCCATTGGGCAGCTTGCAAACACTTCCTGGCCTTCTTCCACCGGGGTGGGATCCGACGATTTGGCTTCCATGACAACTGCTCGCCGTCGCTGTCGCAAGAACCTGCAAAACTCTCATCCAACTATGCTGACTCACCCTTTTCCGAATTCTTGATCACTGCATGCATGATGGAACTGCTGTGAAATATGATGTCGACCCCAAGGGCACTTCGAAGAAGTTGTCCCAACATCTTCGCTTGGTTCATTTGCCTCAACTCAGGCACAAGCAACTATAGCAATATATCACGACTACAACTAGCATGATTGTAACTGACACATATGCACCGCCAAACAAGAAAAAAAAACACGCCAGATGTAGCAAGCAGGTACGTCTATAAGCATCGTGCCTTGTCGCGCACATCTTGAGCGGCAGGCACATCCTGGGTCCAACCACCAGTGGTCCCGACTGATAATGATCAATGATGTGGGGCTTGACACAGGACTGGTCCCAAGTCTGTCAACAGCGAGTACCAGTGGCATGCAATTGAAGCTTCCGCTTCCATGCTGGCTGGGTTTGGCGAAAAATGTCCATTGAAAGCCGGCGAGCTGCTTCAGGCGCATTCACAACGGTTCGTCTGCGATACTAAAGACAACGATGAGTCAAAGTGATCCAAGCACCACCCTCAGCAACCAATTCAATTTCGTCACATGCTGCCATTCTTCCCGGAACCCATCCCCTCCTTCCGAGACCACAGGTAAACTCCGTGGGCCTCGTGATGGCAAACGTCTGTACAGCTATTCTGAGCTGCCGCACAGGCTGAGCATCGTCATGTGGCAACCTGGAGCATGCTGTTTCGGAGAAACGACGTGATGCACTGGGTCTACTGCGAGGTCGCGGCTTCCCTTCCTCCTCCAAACCTTTCAAGATGCCAAGAGGTTCAGAGACAAGTCGGTCGCTCTTCCAGCTCTCAGAAGACCGAGCAGCTGCCATGAAGCACTCAGAACTGCCCACAGTCATCAAGCCTAAACCGACCCATGACTCCGGATCTCTGCCTCAAGAGTCGCCCTCTCGTTTCTCCCTGTTCCCGATCCCGATTTATATCTAGTACCTTGGAACGAGAGAGTCTCGGCGTCTGGCGAACACGCATTCGAGCTTTGGCTTTCGCATGAAGATTCCTTCTGCGGTCTTTCTTGTCGGTGATATCCTGCAACACTGCATTGCAAAGAAGTTGCAACGCACATACAGGAACTTTAGCCTTGACGGAGACTGGAACGGCTCGTTCGTTCCTGGACGAAGTTGAAACTGCCGAGTCGGACAGCGACTGCTGAGCATCTCTGAGCATCTTGCAAATCTTTCCACAGCAGCTCTCGCCTGCAAGAGGAAACAAAACCGCTCTACTCTTTAGGCATCCTTCGAAGCCCTGCAAAACACGGCATGAGGCTTCTCCGACTGTCACTGCTGATGGTGTTGTCATTGCCTGCCTCACCTGCAGCCATTCCACTTCTGCTCCAGAGGACTTGGCTTGGTGCTTCCTGAATTTCTGAATGCTCATCCAATTTGGCAGGCGGAAGGCAGCTGCGCAAGACTGAGACTTTCGCTTCACACGTCCCTCCGTCTGTTCCAGCCTTTCCGAGCCTCTACAGCAAAGACAAGAAGCATTCAGGAAGAGACTCGAACCGCGCCTTCGGATGCAACAAATGGCTCCAGTTTGTGATATTGGTGATGTGCGGGTCTGCCTATTGAAAAACAGTGTCTTTGCAACTGTACGCAAGGCTTCATGCGCCAGGAGTCGGACTCTTAGCAGGATCACCTCCTGCTTTCACTGTGCGCGTCTGGAGCCTTTGCAGGCTCAAGGGCGAGCCTGTTGATCGGACAAAACATGCTTCCGCAAGAACTGAGATCCGCAACTCCATCTTCCGCAGTATGCGCTGTATGTTCTCCTTGTGGAAAGAGTGATACCATCTGACGGATTACAAAAGTTAAATGTTGATCCTCCAGAACGTCACGTTCCGCCGCAGCACTGACAAGTTCATCCATGAAGGCCTCTCGCGGGCACGATGGTTGCAGCGCTACGAGGTGACAAAAGCAGGATGAGCAGGTCGCTCCGTCCAAACATACTCTAAATCCAAGAACCTACCGTGTGAGTGCACGGTTTCCCCGCCTGCTACGCCTCAAGACAAAGAGATGAAAACTCTAGCACAAGTAGAACATCAGCTCATGAAACCTACACGACAAGCACAGTGATCAACAGTGAAAGCGCACCTAGGATTCCGCACCTAGAGCAGCCAGCAAGTGCAGCCAGCAAAAGCACAACGATGGATGAAGAGCAGTGTGCATGCCCACTAAACAGAAACCGAACCCTGGACCACAAAGGAAAGGACGTGTGGCACCCAGCTCATGCTGTTGAACACACGTTCGTCGGCTACTCGCGGCTATCTGTCATGGCCGAGCTAGGACATGACATCAACCTGTGACTTGTCGGCTTATGATGACTTTCGTACTTGCCGTTTGGGAGGCGAGCTCTGCGCTGCAGCTGACGTTTTCCGTGGGTGGCTGTGGCCACTGACTTTGATAGCCTGGTGGAGTCGCTGATGACGGTCTGTGCTGCTGAAGAACCTTCTCAAACCAATCGACGGGCGGATGTGCCTTGCGATAGCCCAAATGGGAACACATTTGACACTGAGCAAAAGGGCAGCCATGAGCAACGGCTGGATGCTTTCGATGTGAAGCGGCATGGACCACTTTCCACTACGATACAGAATCATGTTGATGTCACTGCACCGTGGCATGGAGTATGGGCAGTGCTGGGCAACTCATGTGACCGCTGCCTATGATGGCCTTATGCAATCGTGGTCGGTTCGTGATGGTGCAGAGCTTTCCGAAACCAATCGGACGGCGGCTGTGCTTTGCGATAGCCCGCACGGGCACACATTTGGCACTGAGCAGAGGGGAATTGATGAGCAATGTCTGGACGCCCTACATAATGGGAAGCGGCGTGGCATGCCACTTTTCACTACGATGCATTATCATGTCGGTGTTGCCGCACAGTAATAGGAGCATGGGAGCCTGTTCCGCGGCAGCGATTGGCAGCTGAGGGCGGCATGCACATGTTGCCGGATGCAGAGGCCATGTCAGTGGCGGTCCTTTTACACTGGTTGGGCACGTCATTCGGGAAGAACAACAACAAGAAGCAAACTCTACGGCGTCATTCCTTGGTGGGTCTGCGCGGAATCAGCACCAGTTTCAGATGTATACCAAGCATATCAGAGGCTGACTGGAGAGCGGCAACACGAACTCTGTCGGATGATCTCGTGGCCCTGAGCTTCGCCTGTGATCCTGGTGGTGTCGGAGGTCGCGATTGAGGGCGACTGGCAAGCAGCAAAGCCGCATCTTGCAGGAACTTCGTGTGGCGTCTGCTGATCTGATTTGCACTGGCTCGTACCCTGCTTCTGTTCAGTCACAGTTGCAAAGTGTGCACCCGACGCGCTTTCACTGTAGGTTGGTGTTTCGGCTTTGTGGTGGGATGCGTGGCAGGATTGAGACAGCTTTTTGGCCCTTTGGCATCAAGGCCTGCCTGGATAAATCTCCATCTGCCTTTTCCCGCTGGCAGATTTCTGCCCCATGGTCGGCCCGAACTTATTCCATGATGAGTGCATACTTCCGTACTGCCTCTTGCATGCTTTAATTACGGCACGTACCGCTCTAATGCCTTGGAAATGACAAGTATGCAATGCATGTACCTATCATGTATGCATACAGGTATGGAATGAATGGACGGATGGACGGATGATGCATGGATGCATGGATGCATGGATGCATGGATGCATGGATGCATGGGATGCATGGATGGATGGATGGATGGATGGATGGATGGAGGGAGGGATATGGAGGGATGCCCGGCACGCAAGTGTCTTGTTGCCGGTATCTTTGCTTGTCTTTTTGTTGTCAATGTTGCTAGCTGGTTTGTCAAGTGGCATTTAAGTGCAAAAGCCTGCACAGATCTCATCGCCATTGTGAATCCGATTCTGAAGCACCTTACCTCCCCTTGGGACACTGTCTGGCCTTGGCGCTGTGGAGCAGCCGAAACTCAGAGATGCAAAGACAGAGAGTTCTTGACGTGTGCGGAGTCGCGGAGTCGTCTTCCGGTCTGAGGCCAAGACCGCTCCGATCTGAAAGTGTTCGGATTTCTTGGGAGCCTTGAGGTCGTCGCTCGTTGGTGCTACTGTGCACAGCGCCCATTCACTTCCCCGGCACTCTGGCCTGGCTTTTCGAAGGCGCAGCCTTCTCCACAACGCCCTTGAGGCTAAAACCTTCAGCGAAAACACATAGAGCTTCGCTTCAAGCACTTCTCACACGGCCAGCCTCCGGATGGTCTGGTGCCGCTGGCGGTCCCGGTGGTCCCCTTGCCTTTTTGAGGTCGACCCGGAGCAGCCGGAGGAGGTTTCGATGCTTCATCGGCTTCAGCGGCATCCTCCTCCTGGTTTGGGCAATTTCAGCGCTTCACAGAAAGTCGGCATGCGGCATAAGCCAACCCTTCACTAGCCTCCGGTGGGATGTCGGGTGGAGTTTGCAGCTCATCCACTTCCAGCTCTTGAGACTCATGGGTCGGCTGCCTCTGACAAGGTGGGCGCGGAACTCTTGCAACATGCCATCACTTGCCTCTGCATGGCCGATTGCAAATAGTTCTCGTTGCCAACCCTTAGCATTTGATGGCTGAAGCAAGGAATCAATAGTCCTGAACGCTTCAGATGGCTCAGGCGAGCACTCCTGCCCCCCTTTGCGCGTGCGCTCCTACAACACGCAGCAAATACGGCTGTCTGCACCTCATGCAGCTGCCTCGAACATATTGACGATGTTCATGCATAGTTCATGCGCTTGCAGCCGAGTAACGTCCCGCATCGTGGTCATCATCAAATGGTCATACCTGCAAAGCTCGGCATACACACCTAAAGCGTGGCCAATGCCAAGGGCAAAGGAGCACAAGGATCTGTTCAGTTCAACTTTGCGACGATGCTCCTCCAGAGCACCGAGCCATTGCATGATCACGCACAGGAAGCCACTACCACTCCTGCCTGCATCAAAGCAGTGAGATCTCCTTTGACCTTCTTGTGGACCCTGCGCAGACCATGCAAGATTGGCAGACTTGGACAAGAATCACACCAGCTCCTCCGTTGATGATCGCGCTGCTTAACCATGGCCTCAAGACTGGCACTACACCCTCAAACCCTCAATAACAAATGCTAACCGTGTACGGGCTCCCACCTTCTCCATGTCAGACAGGATAGCAGTTGTGGCAAACGGCTGCGAGTCCGCAAGCACTGATTCCGTCTCCTCCACAATGCACGCTTTGGAGTCAGCAAACGAGGTCACTGCACAGTGTCCTCCTCACAGTCTAAACTGCTTAAGCTCTTCTTGGAAGCAAAAGCCTCACTCGAGCTGCTCTCTTCCAAGACTAAATCGACTCCATGTGCTGCTCTGTGGCATCGAGCAGGCTTGCAGAGTGAGTGTACGTCCTGCAGCTATAGGTCGACATCTAACAACATCTACTTTGAGTCTACTTGAGTCATCTGGCTCCTTGAAATAAGCGCAGGGTCGATCCCAAAGCGTTCCAGCATCAGGCCCATCTCCCTGCCAGAGACTTCACCGAAACCATAACATCTTGCGAGGGCCTGGAGAACAAGCCTGTCGACAGCATCGTTGAAATCGGCGAGTGCCCTGGCCGGGCAGTGGCAGAGGCACGGGCACAGCTGAGCTCTTGACTCCATGGGGCCTCGCTGCAAGTAAAATTCGCGAACTCAAGGTCTCCTCCGCGAGTATCTTGGAGAGAGCCAAGACGCTCACCGCTTCCCGTTGCAGTTCAACCTGGGCACCGGGAGATAGTGCGGTCCTTGCCAATTTCCTCGGTGATTGAGGCTCTTGCCGTGTCTTCTAAAAGGCGACGCACCACCTTGAGTGCCGGATCAAAAATGCAGAACTGTTCCACCTCAGCGACACAAACAACTGGCAAGAGCAAGACGTTGTCGGAGGTCTCTCCTGTTGTGCACCACTTCTTCAAGTCGTTTGCCTGCCAGCGGTTGCCATGGAAGAAGTACGGTGGCACATCATGTGGTAGCGAGTCCCGGGCCAGGTCTTGCCAGCGAAAACGATCTAAGCCGGATATGACCTGACTGTGCTGTGTGCAGAAGCACGACTGCTGGCAGAAACGAGCCGCGCGCGTCTCTCAGTAGATTCTTCAACTCCTCTCTAGTCAGAAGCTTGTCCATCTCGCCAACAATCGGCTCTTGCTGGTCCACCTGCACAGAGCACGAGCATGCAAAGCGTGAGCATGAGCAAGCACGTCCGAGTAAGGTAAGGTTGCATCAGCGCGCTACATTCTGACGAGGATTACGGAATTACTACGACTACCATGAGGCATACGCGACAAGGCGACGACGCGAAGGGGAGACGGGGCGACGGCAGTTTCGACTCTGCCTCGGTCTCGTCTGGCTGGATGGCTGTGTCCGCTGTGTCCGCAGCTGATTTCAATTTTGTGATGAAGTCCTCGTCGTTCTCCCTCAGCTTCAAGGCTTCTGGGCAGCTGGGAATCAAAGGAGCCCTGCCTGCCAACAGCTCTCGCAATGGAGGAAGCATCGATGTTGCCAGCAGCATGCATCTTCCTGCACAGTTGCATGGGATGCTGGCAGCTGTAGGCACAAGTAACCATCGAGGAAACGACACTGCGAGGTCTGCTTGCTGTACCTCCACTTGGTACTCTTTTCATATCCAAACAGAGGCGCGCAAACGTCTCCAAGCATGCCCGCCTCTGTCTGAGAAATTTCCTGTCTAGTCGGCACTTTTCCAAACCAAGCTCTGATAATGCTTCGTGTTGAGACTCCAGCATCCATCTGATCGAGCACATCCCTGACCTATCGTGCGACGCGGATTCATGGCAGGCATGGCCAGAGCAGCTCATGGCACCTTGTTTGTCAGCAAGCCATATAACTCGTAGGTCACCACGTATCTCCTGTCGACGCGAGGTTCAACATGAAACACGCAACGATGGTAACAGTCATCGTGGCCTCGGGATCCCAGATCGGACCCCACCTGTCTTCAGCTTCTTGAGCATGTCCTGCAGACACAACACTTTCTTCTACTCGAATTCTGCATTCTGGCCAATTCTACACCAACCTCCGCCACCGCTCCAATGACTGTGCCATTGGCGATCAGCTGTACTGCTTCGCCGATTGTGAGCCTCACCGCACGGTGCTTGGAGAAGCTGATATGGCCTGGTAAACTTGTCCGAGCACCGAGGTCCTTGCTTGGCGTCCTCATCAACGCCCGGATCGCCACGCTCGAAGGATCCCAACTCTTTCTGCAAGTTCTCCAATACCTCACGGATGGGCAAAGCTGCGCGACCAGACAGCTCCCACATGCCAGCCACACCATCGATGCTGTAGTCATGGATCGGGCCATACCTGCACTGCCAAAGTCAAGCAATGCTGGAGCATGGCCACATACTTGGTGCCGCGCTGTATCCCGGGAGAAAACGTGGAGCGTTGTCTTCGGAGCGTGGATCATATAAAAAGTTCTTCTTGGCCTCGTCCGAATTTAACGAGAGGTGCAGACGACATCAACCACAAGAACTCCCGAAAGCAAGGCCACTGGCTGGCAAAAGGCTTGGATCCCCCTGGCAGGAACATCTTATGTCAAGCTACAAGACGAGCTATCCCCGACATATCCGAAACTGTTTGTCTTTGCACAGCTTCCCGCAGGGAAAAGTACCCTGACAAGGCTCAGCGGAGGATGAAGATGCTTAGATACCAGCGGCTTCAGAGCTCGACAGTGTGGTCACTACCCGAGGTGCGTCAGGTCGATACCCTTTGAAATTTCAACCACGTTCACAGCTTTCGTTTGTTGCAGGCTTTGACAAGGGACGCTGACGTGTGTACCGTACGACGGATTCTTTCGTCTGCTGCCTTGCTTGTGGGCCAAACCGCTATATCCTGACGAAAACTTGATTCACAACAACAGTCCGAAGCTCAGGCTGCAGGGCTGCAGCATGCGTTACTTTTCTATGCTGTGACCTCCACCCTCGAATTACAAGACATCAGACATCATGTACGAGATTTATTGCATGGCCACTTCTGCATTTGTCCAGCTATCTCAGCACGATGGTGCCGAGCATGAGTAGCGGCTGCGTGCCTCTCTTTTCCACTTCTGCAGAACCACCTCTGAAAACCTGAACACATCTACAACCAATCCGTCGTCAGCGGCTTTGGGACAGATTCGAAACGACTGGGAATGGCGCTTGATGAGCGTCTCATCCTCGTCATCCGAATCGCAACACGATGTGAATGGACTGGACAATCCCTGCACTCCTTGAGTCCTTGCAGGTGCACATGGAACCAACCACTAAAAGAAGTCTTTGGAGTCTGCGGTCAAGGCGTGTCAACAGAATCTTGAAGCTCACCGATGGATGTGCAGCCTCACCGGGCTACACCAGTTATTCACTAGGACCTCTGTGGACTGCGCTGAAACTCAGCATCAAGCTGCCGTGCCAGCGAGATGTGAAATGCGTAGATGCCAGGGACGGACCTCCTGCAGACGGTTCCGCATATTAGCCGGCTAATTATGGGATCTGAGGCTGGTGAGGGCCTGTCCGCAGAGCTTTGCCGGTGAAGCCCAAGCTGCTACTGGATGTGACAGAAGCGACACATGTTCGGGATCGGCGTGCCTGGCGTGAGACACAATGCCACAGGAAGTTAGTTGCCTAAACATGACACCTCAGCTTTCGCTTGCAGCAAACACTCCGAGGGTATGGATGATGCTTCTTGTGCCAGCGAACCTGCCCAAACCGGTAAAGCGGCAACTCACTGACACAGGAAGAGGGGATGCCTGGCAATCCATAGTTCACTGGTCGCCAGTCTGACTCATCCCACACTCCAAAGGGCATCCTCAACAACAGCTCCGGGAAATCAAAGCATTTCAACATCATTTCGACGAGCTTGCCTCGACTATCTGACATCCCGGCGCATCTAGTCCAACCGCAAGCCAGCCATGTAGACATATGCTACAAAGATGTGAGTTGCACGAAAAGCCATTTCATGCCCAAGCTTAGGCTTACTCTTTCATACCAAGAAAGCTGGTGAGAAGACCACTCGTTTTGTCAGCTGAATTAACACATCAAACCCAACATTGTCATCCGCATAAACATGTCGTCATGTAAGCGGTGCTGAGCCATGCAACCGCCGATACAACTGCTCCACTGAACATATTCAGACTCCATCGTGCATGCCTGCAGGTCACATGCGTTGCCGCTACATGAGGATACATGCCATTGGCACCTGCCTCCAACTTCGAGATCAATGTGACAATTCGACCCAAGGTTTTGAACACCACGTCCCGTCATCAGTTCAGCACAGCCAAGTCGACAATAGTTCTCCAAGCAGGCCTGCAACAAGAACCTGTTGAACTTTAAATTTAACAGACGTGCATTAAGGAACGTCTGGTTGGGAAACAAGATCGACATGTGGTTGTCTGAGATTTGAATCTCTTGAATAATGTTGGAGGAAACCTTCGATGAACACCGCATTTCGTTCCGTATGGTTTTCCAGGTGCGGAAAGCGCTCAAAAAGCAGCATCACACGGACCCAACTTTGAGTCCAAAAAACTACAAAACAAGCAGGACGCGTCAGATGTTCCACAACAACTTCAATCTGACCACCCAAGCACGACAAGAGAAACTATGAGCATGCATTGATTCGGACCAAACCGATCACATCTAGTTGCTAGAATGGAAAACACACTGAAATTCACTGAAGGACCGATCGAAAACGGACCATCAGATCAGTTCGAACTCCGACTTCACGCGACCGCAAAAAAAAAGAATCAAATCCACGTGCACAGTTGCTTCATGGGGCATTCTGGCAGACTTCGCTCCACGGTTCAACTATCCAATGCGAATGGTAGAACGGCTGCCTCGGCAAAGCCGATCCAAGATTCGTAGCTTAGAAGCATTTGACACACCACATTTTTGATGCCATGGTCAACTTCATGGTAGACATGTAAAAAAGAAAGCCTACTTGCAGTTCTTTGCATGCTGTCCTGCTCATGCATTCAGTGCGTGCGTGCACTCTGCTTTTTTCTTCTGCTTAGTCTTTTAACTCAAATTTAAATTTTGACGATAACACTAATTTTGATCAGGTGCTAGTCGGGGGCAAACATCATTGGAACTCAATGATTTCGTGGGTATATCCTTGTTTTTGACCCTGTTCTTTTTGTTAATTTTCGCTTTGTATGGGTTGGAAGTTGAAGGTTTACGGTTTATGTTTAGGTGGCTTCAAAGGGGGAGTTTGCAATTTACCAAATTTTTTTGCAAAACGGCTTTCGTAGAAAAAGACAATGCGAAAACAAGTGACAAGTGCACTGTGATATGATTGTTCGACGGAACAGAACGGCGGCCGAAGCTTTGACTTGGCTCCATCGATGGTCTTGGACAGCTCTGGGCGACGGCCCACGGTTGTTGTGGATCGATCGCTGGGGCATCGTAGCTTGTGCTGAACGGCCAACACCGGCAAAGTCTGTGCGCCGCAGCTAGTTGTCGACCTCTGTTAATTAACCTTCTCCCTGTGGTGTGCACTGGTCTGCATGGACGCTGTGTTGGAGCAAACTGTGTTTTGGACGCTCATCGCAGTCGTGCGTATCGCTTCCAACCTCTTGGCTGATGCCCCGGAATGGTTACGCCCGCTCATAGTCGTACGGAGGGTCTCTGGCGATGCTGAAATGATCGACACGTGCTTCGACCATGTGCCCTTCACCGAAGCAGCTGAGCACAAGGCGGCAGGGCTTGGGGACATCGCCACGATCCAGCCGGGGGTGAAGGGGCACAGTGCGTGTCATGCTTCCCCTTCGGTCAGTAGCGCCCACATGCTACTGCTCACACAGGGGTCAGCCGCGCTTCAGCTCCGCTATGCCTCCTACAGTGAAGTGAAGAATCTCCTCAACAATGCGCACGTCATTGTGATCGACGAGGGGCAACACAAAGGGCAGCCTTCCTCAGCTGCCATTCTGGCCAATGCAGAGTGCCAGCTTGTCATTCGCACAGGTGACCCCCGACAGCCCGCTGGAGGTGGCAAAGGTGAGGTGCAACTGCGCACGCTGGCCCGCCTCATCGCCAAGCCTGTTGGCATCCGTGGAATTGCTCAGCTTGCTCCTCAACCCGTTTCCCCGGGGCGGCTAGCCGATGCACTGCGTGGCTTGGTACACTCTACCTCCCCGGATGGGCCGCTGCACACAGTTCAGTGGTCTAGCCTTGGACACCGCCACAATGGCCATCAGGGCGCTGAGCCACCCCCGGGCACCAGCCTCACAATATGCCGGGAGTTGTCGGAGTGTCTTTTTGGAGTTGAAGGTGAAGTAGAGGTTGGCCTCGACTCGGACCTTCGGGACCTCCGCGGCTGCCGGGTTACCCGACAAGGGCTTACCTACTTCATCCCTTATTCCGGTATCACGAGGGTGGGAGATCGGGTGTGCCCACACCCCGGTCGCCTCACGCCGGCTGCTCTTGCGGTGGATTTCCTCCACCAATCTGCGTCCCATAGCGAAGCGATCCTATGCTACCTCAGCCGTCTGTCGGCAGTCGGCGCAATACTTGCGCCGGCCAATACAGCTATGCAAGCTGAAGGCCTGGCCCCTATCAACGGGGTTAGCTTGAACTTAGCCCTGGTCGCATCCACTCGATTGCTCGCCGATCTGTACCTGCTTATCACCGCTTTTTGGCTTGACTGGGCCTCGTCGACTACGGCTGTAGCACTCGGTCCCTACAAACAAGCGAAACTAAAATCCAAGCATCAAACTACAACAAAGCGGTGAAACAGCAAAGCGAAGCTCTACAAAGGGCTGCGGCGCACAGGCTTTGCCGGTGTTAGCCGTTCAGCACAAACTACGGAGCCTCAGCTACCGGTCAGGAGCAACAAAGAGCCGTCGCTCAGAGCTGCCCAAAACAACAGGTGGAGCCAAGTCCAGGCTCCGGTTGCCGTTCTAGTCTCGCCAGACAACGGACAGCCCCTGTGTTTTGTTCCGTCACGATCGTGCACACCAAAATCCAAAAGTCCATGGCCCACTGCAGCGTGGGCGGCTTCCGAATAAGGAGTGCGAAGACCAGTGCCGCAGGCAAGCAACCCGCTCATGCAACCGCCGTCATCGACCCTAGGCGTGCCAAGCGCCTAGACGGCGCTCTGATGCAACAATGGCAACCAGTGTGGGCCACACCCACACGGGCAACCTGCCGGAGTCCTACCAGTGACAAAGTTGCTCGACCACGACACTCTAGCGCGCATGGCCGCCGCCGCCAGCAGAATCAAAACAATGTCCCTAGCCGTGAGCTGGAACACTGGGTCAGCCGCTAAGACAGGCAGAGATCGCCAAGGCGGACATTGACGTGCCGGCCACACGCTTCCACAGCATCGTCAAACCGTTGTGGCGGCCATGGCAGCAATTGAAGACACCATTCGGAGGTGGGAAATAACACGCCCCAGTGATGAGGCCACCGAGCCCGCCTGCAACCACAGGCAAGCCCACAGCCTAGCCGTGCCTTTCCCGGCGCCCTCAGGGAGAAGGCCTAGTAGCGACCCACACGAGCAGCGTCGTGCAGGGGGTGGCGTTCTCCGCTCGCTCGTGGACCATCAGAACGGAACTGCACCCACGCCCAGCGGAAGGCGAACGTGACAACGACGGTTCGATGTCCGCCGAGGAGATCAATCCAACGGCCTGGACCACGTAAGCCGTGGCCCAAACTACGAAGCCTCAGTAGCCCCTATGTATCGTCCCGTCTCGAAAATGCAGGTCCGAGCTCAAGGTGATGGTGCATCAACATAGTATCGAGGGCATGAGTGACATGGAGAGTGAAATAGACTCAACGACGTATGTCGTCGGTCGCAACGGCTTCCACAGGGGGACAGCGATCACAGACAGTGATGAACCGCCTGATCCCGTTTGTTCCGTCACAACCAGGGCACCCAGAGCCAGAATTCCAAAGCCCACTGGCAAGCGTGGCCGGCTTCCAAACAGCGGGTGCATCGACATGGTGGCGAGGGCCTGCCTGCCCACGTCGTTTGAGCCCGACCTCGGCTAAGCACGCTGAAGCCGAGTAAAACCCAATTGTCGCTTGCTCGAGAGAGAGAGAAAAAGACGCAACGACGTATGTCGTCGGTCACAATAGCGGCTGATGGAGACTGACTGTCAACCAGAAGAGCCAGCCGCCGCTTAGCGCGGCCAGCTGTCGAGTAGGCGCTGCATGTCACGACCGCTCGAAGGGAAATGACTCTCCCTTAAGAGATAGAGCAGCTGGTAATTTCCCTCACGATAGATTTCCGTCACCCTTCGGAATGAGTATTGGTGAGTATCCTGGTCGGGGGCATGCAGATGTGGCATTAGATCGGTGGATATACATGGAAATTGGAGGCCAGGTCCAAGGCCCCTTCCCTGCGGAACTCATCTGCCGCTGCCCTCCAGCTTTCGTGCGCCCAGGGATGCCCCAACCTGACCCAGGGACGCTCGCCACCCGGCAGCTCCTGCGCCTGATTCTCTTCCCGGGCGACCAACCGGTGAAGGAGGACCATCGCTTTCGAGTCAAATGCGTCGAAATGCGCGAAGCGCCATAAGCGGGCTGGAAAGTAAAAGTCTTTCTTTTGTGGTCCACGTATCCAATAAGCCACTACCGCCCGGAGATCCCATCCATCAGAGGTAGCAGCAGCACGAAGGCGCCACAGTGCACTATTCAACAGGCCCGCGGCCTGAATCGAAAGAGAGGGCTGCGCTTGCAGACCCAGTGGGATGTCCGCAAGCGGAAAGAGCAGACGTAACATTCGCGGATCGAACTCGCCGCGTCTGGCTGGGAGGAGTCCACTCTCGAAACACGCCATCAGCCGGTCAGCAATGGCAATTTGGGGCTGG